ACCTATAAGAGAAAGGGGTGGAAATGATAGCACTTGATTCACAGAATGGCTCTGAGGATCCAATCAGCTAATATATACAAAGCTCTTTGTCAAACTTAATGGCTCCCAACAACAATATGGATCATAACCCCACATTTTTTTCATCCTGTATAATCTATTTCCTTTCACAAATTCTCTAAAGGGGGCCCCAACTAAGATGCTCAGGGATCTTCTAGCTTTTTTGACATTGACTGAATACAAATGTAGCCTGGGGTCACCCATTGTTTTAGACAACTTGCTACGCTGATTACACATCTCTCTCAATGTTCTTTATTTTGATTCTGTGGTATAATCCTTAGTTGGTAAGATATTACAAGCTCTTCGTATAGCCACATGTAACTATTCATTACCTTCTAGGTAAAATCTCCATGTTAATTTACTTATGTTTCTAGTTAGTACCTCACCTAAACGGAATATAATTCCTTTTGATTAATTTCCATTTTTTTGTTAATTAGGAAGTTGAAGGCTTTGGTGAATTTTGTCTCATAAAGCAATCCTAGTATTGATAGATTAATAAATCACTGGTTTAAACCAAAAAGTAGCAACTATAATAATACTTACGATTAATTATTTTTCTCTTTTTGCGAGGCAATTGTGGTTCAGTGACTTGCCCAAGGTCACACAGCTAGTATGTGCTGTGTGTTGTGTGTCTGAGACTAGATTTGAACTCAGGTCATCCTGACTTCAAGGCCAGAGCTCTACCCACTGCACCACCTAGCTGCCCTAAGTTTGAATTTTTTTCCTAGGAAAATGGTGGTTTTAAAGAATGGTCAATTATTAATTAAATTCAATAAGATCTATGAATAAAAAGCAATGTTAAAAATTAAGTAATTCAAACATCCTCAAAGTTTCACATTTAGAAATTTGAGTATCTATTGCAACAAATACCATTACAAAGAAGATTCAGTAGGACAAAATTATTTCAACAAAACAGAGGACAGCCTCTAAACTAGTCCAAAGTACTTCGTATAATGAATAATGTAATGTAAAAAAAAAAATTGCTTCCTCGGATCCTGGCTCAATTTGCAGTCACTTATAGTAACACAAGTACATCTTTGTTGTTAACGCTAAAGGCCGAAAAGGGGAAGAAGAGGAATTAGTATAATTTTTTGGGGGGTGGGACAGGAGGTAGAGATGGGGTGATAGTAGATACGACACCTTTAAAAACTCACTGACAATTTCTAACTCAAACTTTTAAAACTTCATTACTAAAAATCCCAATGAGAGACAACAAAGGAAATAAAGAAGTGTGGGTGGCAATTCTAATTTTCATACTGAATTCAAAGGACATTAATTCCTTGTTAATACAGAACAGAATAGATAAATCATAACTACATTATCATTCTCCCCATTCTAAAGACTGGAAGATGATTTACAGCAACGTGTTGAATAAATCTACAAACAAAATTGTTGTTATTCTGTAGTTTCCCTATGTTGGCTAAATAAAAGAATATGGACAAAAACTATATTCCACATACAGTGAGGGATTGTACAGTGAGGGAATACTCACATCAATAATACTGTTGTTCAGTCATTTCAGTTGTGTACAACTATTTGTGACCCCTTTTGGGGTATTCTTGGCAAAGATACTAGAATGGTTTCCCATTTCCTTCTTCAGCTCATTTTACAGATGAGGAAACTAAGGTAAACAGGGTTCAGTGACTTGTAAGGTGTCACACATCTAGTAAGTGTCTGAGGCAGGATTTGAATTCAGGTCTTCCTGATTCCAGGCACCACACTTTATCCACTGCACTATTTAGCTGCCTCTACACAAATACCAACATAATATCAAAACAAAATACCAATAAAATAATTTGGAAAGGACACATGGAGTTAGCTTTCATACAATTTTAAAATTACATTAATTTGAGGATTTAAAGATTTAGAGCTAAATGGGATTCCTAGGCCAACCTCTCTCATTTCACAGATAAGAAAACTGGAGCCCAAGCATGGTAGAATAACTTGCCTGTGATGACAAAGGCAGTAAGCCGAGTGTCCCTTCTTTGTGAAAAACTTTTCAAAAGCTACCTAATGACAATCAAGTCAAATTCAAATTTTTCGATCTGGCATTTTTTTTTTTTTAAGAACTTTTCTCATTACCTCCATTTCTAGTACTCAGACTGGAACATTCTGTTTTCTGAACACAGTTCTTTTCTCATGTTCTCCTCTTCTTTAAATCACTCGAAGGCACCTTCCTCTCAAGACTAGTGAATTCCTGTCTATTCTTCAAAATCAAATGCTATCACAGCATCATAAATTTAGAGCCAGAACAGATTAGGGATTAAGGCCAAAAGAGTTTAAGCAACTTGCTGCTCAGGGTCAAACAGCTAGTGCCAATGAAATGATCTGACTGCAGGTCTTCGTGACTTCAAGTTCAGCACTTTATCTATCACATCATGTTACCGATATCTTGTTTAAGATACCTTCACCTGGAAAGTGTTGTTGACTAGTCCAATCACATATAGCACAAGGACTGTACCACTCCTGAGCGGATATCATGCATTACAGGTGTTATTTGTGCATGCCATATTCCCAAATTAGACTATAAACTCAAAGAACACAGGATATCTTCGTCTAAACTCAGAATTCCCCTACAGCATCTAACAGTGTTACCTACATAAAGGAGGTATTTCATGTGTAAGTTAAAATATATAGTCTTTCTGAAAATTGAAAACCTGCTATAAATATCTAGTGATTATCATCAGATTAATGAGACAGGGAATGGAAAGAAAGGAACGGCTATTTTAGAGCATATTTTAGAGAAAAACTTGGAAACTGACCAGATAAAGGAAAGGTAGAAGAGAGATGAGTCAAAGGTTTCAAGTCTGTTTTATTGGCCTGTGTCATTAAAAAGATCATAATATGCTAAAGAACCGGGATCATAATATTATTATAATATTAGAGCTCAAAGGGATTTTTGATTGTAATAATCTGCTCTAAGAGCAGAAAGGTGCCACAGTAGATAGAGCACTGGGCCTGGGGTCAGGAAGACCTGAATTCAAATCTGGCCTCAAACAATGATTGGCTGTGTGATCCTGGGAAAGTCACTTAACACTGTATACCTCAGTTTCCTCACATGTAAAAAAATGAGGTAAAGAAGGTAATGGCAAACCAGTCTAGTATCTGTGCCAAAAAAACCCCAAATGGGGTCACAAACAGTTGGAAACAAATGAACAACAACCTGATCTAACCAAGTGGTGGGCTTTGGAATTAACGTAAAGACCTGTAAACTTCTGTAGTGACAGTTACATAAGCAAAACTGAATATTCTATAGTTTGAATAAATATCTGACACCCAAGATATTTTTCACACAAGATATAATATTAATAACAATAATAAGATAATAAATATGACTTATAGATATAATTGTCATTTAGTAAATACAAATTCATTTGTAACTTACTGAGTTCACAATAACTATATGCAATCATATTTTTTCAATCAACAAACAAATTTAATAGCTATAGTGGTTGGTATCGACACTTTTCTGATGTAAGCTACAATAAGAGTCAAAACTATAATCCAGGTCTCTGAAGTCTCCAAAATGCTTTCCATCTTCAAAATGCCTATTACACTGCTAAGCAAACAGGTAATAAACAATTAAGCACTTACAATGTGCCAGACACTGTGCTAAGCAATAATACAAATATGCAAAAAGATAGTCCCTACCCTCAAGGAGCTTACATTCTACAAGGGAAGACAACCTAGAAAAGAAGCTAAAAAGCAGAGAGAAAGGGAACAGGAAGGGCAACTGCTCAACATGGAATTATGATGGAAAAGTCATAGAAGTCACAAAGCAGTAAAATCAGGAAGGAAATGATAGGTCAGTGCAAACCACCTCCTGAAGTGAAGGTTTCAGTACAAACCACCTCCTGAAGTGAAGGTTTGGGAGTTCATGGCTCTGCCCCTCAATTACACATTTCCTACTTAGATGTGCTACTCTTGGACTTCTTCACCATGCCTCAGAAAGACCATCATTGGAAAAAATGTTATCATCATGCAGTATCAGTCCTGGTACTCACACCTTGTCACTGCTCTTTGCCATTCTTAGTAGAGGGAATATCCAATGAACCCAAAATCCACCCCTAACCCCACCCCCCCCAAAAAAATCACCAGGCTCAAAAAAAAAAAAAAATCCAATGAATCGATTAGTCACCAGGCTAAAAAGTCTTCATTCTTTAATGAACACAAGAACTGACAACTATTTATCTACTGAACAGTGTAAGTAAGGACTCAGATGTATAGCAAGATTACTATTCCTTAACCTTCCTTTAAAAAAAAAAGATGCTTATTCACTCGTACAAATGGCAAGAAGTTACACTTTAAAGGATTTATGTAAGATACTCCAAAATAACAATTTTATAAAAATTGTCTCAATAAATAAATAAAAGTTTTCCATGCAATTTACAGTGACTTCACTACTCAAGCTAGAAGTGAGAAGACAATTTTTTACACAAATGTGTGCAATTATATTTCTGTAGTTACATTTACAACAATGTACTACTCCCAAAACATAATATTTAATTTTTTTAATAAAGCTGGTATAGCCTTCATCTATTACTAAGCAGTCTGAAATCATTTAACATGGTAGTCTAAAAAGCTGTCATCTATTATGTCCACTCCTGCCCTCCCCAATGAATAAAATTCAGGCATCCCTTAGAGAAGAAGAGTGAAAGGTTAGCCAATTTTAAGAAAGTCACAGCTAATTAAACCAACTTTTTTAGGTAGAAGTTGTATCAAATGTTTATGTGATCTGACACACATAAATCCACTTTATCGTCCCTGAGAAAGAAATCAACATTTCTCTATAAATAGCATTGCACAAAAGAAAGAGAATTACTCACATTGGAGGGATAAATATAAAATCAAAATGTTTTCCCAACATTAATTGGACTAGAAATTGATAGGTCAGGAATCAAATGGGAAAATTCTACAAGAAATATCTAAAAATTATTACTTACTGCAGGTACCAACAATTTTTTTACTTCTTCAACAGCTCTCTTCAGTTTGATTTCTGCTCTATTCTGAGCATCTTCCACAGTGATTAGTACATGTAAATCTTCATTTAGGTGCTCCCAATTAGGTTTGCCTCTGTTTTGTTCCTCCTAAAAGAAAATAAAATAATACTTATATAGATCTACGACCTAGCTGATACCAATTCTATTCAATAATATCAAACATCCATTATTTCACCTTCTGCAAAATCCTGTTTCATCATCCCACTGACATGGAGGTGATGGCTTGAAGAGTTACAACGGTGAGAATAAATTATGTCAGGTTCTACCACACTGGAAAGATGTAATGTCTGCTGTTCAAGGACCAACCTAGATAATTGCAGAAGGCTGACTGAAACATAGTAATTTCATATACTGCAAAATGTAATAATAATATATTGTTACAAGGGCAATGAGGTGTTCTAGACAGAATGATGGACTTGGGAGTTACAAAGACCTTGATTCAAATCCTACCTCTAATATTTATTAGTTGTATGAACCCAGACAAGTCATTTAACCTGAGACAAAGAAAACTTTCAAAGAGTGAAAATTACAAACCATTGTAATGTGCAAAGATGGGAGCTCCATAGTGACAAAATCATGGGTGCTTGGTATATTGACAAAGAGAGTAAGAAAATTAATACCCTTAGTTCTGATGAAGGGGGCAAATCATCTGCTTGTATTTTTTTTCCTATTCAAAGCTTTTAAAGGATATGATGGATGACCATATTGAGTACAGAGAAGAAAAGCCATACTTAGAGGAGTTTAGAAAGGAACTATTCCATATTTTCAACCCAGGAATTTGAGCCTCATTAGCCACAAAGTCAACTTTGGTAGGGTATCAGTATACTGTGAAAATGTCAGTACAGAGTGGTATATGCCACCATTTTGCTATCTGTCCTTTTGAACTAGGGACAACTGCTACAATGGTGATTTGGTCCAAGGAATCCTCTCATTCTGAAATTCATGCCTCTGTCCTAACTCTATAGTAGGCCTGTCTTAAGGTTTTGCAATAATTCTAAGGGAAAAAATTAGGGGGCTCAGGCTCCTTTTCCTCTCTGTTCTGTATGGCCAAATGGGCATACATATGAATCAATAAATCTAATGTCTTTCAAATAATAGGAAATTAATATATAAATGGGGTCACGGAGAGTCAGACATAACTAAAACGACTAAACAACAACAAATTATATAAGACACAATAGAGTAGAGAAGCCAGCTAAAGGGAATTATTAATTATGTCCAAGATATACAGATACCCTCTCCCTCATAATAGAACATAAAGCTAAGTAGAGAACAGAGTAAGTATATACATTAAAAAGGTACGCAAAGCAGCTCCTGGCTACAACAAATGGAATGCAGGAAAAAGGACAAATACAGTATTTTAAAATTATTCCAAAGAAATATTTACAGATCACTTCTTTACCAGGCATGGGTACCAATAGATATGTCCCTTGTAGAAACATATGTTAATTATTCCCAGATAGTATCTGAAATGTAATGTTTGTTATAAAGACAAACATATATAGCCTCTAACAACACACTACAGTCCTGATCCTCCAATCCCACTCCTTAGAAACTGAATTGCAGAAATTTAAAAGTAGGAGAACTTGAGGATCCATTAATTCAATCATCTACCACTAACACATAAATCCCATACAAGTTAGCTTCTGTCTAATGCTTCCAATGCTAGGGAATGTCCTGAAATTGTGGAACATAACAGAGACTGTCATCCTTTCAACAGAATGATTAGGGATTGCTATTTTAAGACAACTTAAAGCTGAAACAGAGCAAGGTGACTGCTAGAAAACTGTGGATGCAGTTATGATGAGTTTTAATGGTTGAGCAAAAAGAAATTCTAGAGTTAAAAAAAATTTCCCTACACAATGTGTCAACTCACAGTTTTCTTGTCCCAAGTGAGGAATCAAAGTGCTGGACCAAGTTTTTTAAATATACGACAACTAGCCAACTTAATTTTTTAAATCACAGGACATTTAAAATAGCCTACTTTTTGTAGCAATGCCTGGCACATAGTAAGCAATAAATGTTTGCTGACCAAATACATAAATCAGGATTTTATCATATTGATACCACTTGTCACATACAAAATGCTAATTCTTTCAAAGAGACACCAGAAAACACTAGTGTCAGCTTATGACTATTATCATGAATGCCCATGATCATGTCAATCCACCTTAGATGAATTCTATCACAACAATGTCCATTAAGTATTTCACTTACTGAAAAATCCTACTAATACCTGGTTAAAAATATAGAGATAGATAGCCCTGTCATGAAGAGAAGGCCACAAGGAGTTAAATAGAAAAAAAATTCTATTGGTTATCAGATTGAACAGATAATTTCATCTTAAAGCTATTAAGAAATAGAGCATCCATTTGCCTATCTCAGTAGTTCGCTCCAATGTTTACTGCATATTCAGTCAAGAATTTGTTCTAAGTAGTACCTAATTGAGAGACCTCTCAATTTACTTAAGAAAGCAATTAGGTCACCCCCTTTGCCCTTTCTTCTCTCAATAAAATGTAATGCCTTTAATTTAAAAGTTATTTTTCATCCTTTGATTCATTTCATATTCTTCCTTAAATATCTCAACTGTGGTGACTTAATAGATAAAATATTGTGAGGCATGACACAAAAGATTTTATACATATACACACATACATACATAATATATACGTGTGTGTGTGTGTGTGTGTATATATATATATATTTTTTTTTTTTAAACACATCCTGGGAAAATTGTAGACATCCCTTTTCCCTCTCAAAGAGAACCTAAAACGTAGACTAATATTCAGCTAAGTTAAGCATGACATATGTGGAGCATCTTCCTTCTGTAGTTATATCTAGCCAATCCTTTACCATCCTATATTGGTATATTATTCTTTATCCCTAAGCATACCAGCCACCTCCAATTCTCACTACTGAGTTTAAGAATAATCTTGTAGGGCCATTTCTTTCATTGATCAAGAACAATGAGTTTGAATCATTACTTTAAATTATGTTTTGGTTCTAAATTCTCTCCTAAAGTGTTCAAACCACAGCTAAGTCTTTGGGCTGGCCCTGACAGCAATCACCCAGGGAAGGCAACACTGGGAGGAAAGAGTCATTTCATCTTTTTTTTTTCTCCCCACAAGTTAAAGACCTTTATTCCAATTTGGGGGGGGGGGGGGGGGGGGCACAAGGAATGTAATCTTCCTCCTCATCATCGCTGGTACCCGCCCGTCCCTGGCCCTTCTTGGAGATCTTCCTCTTGACCCTGCCAGCCCAGCCACCCCCGTAGGGCGAGCGCAGGGAGAAGTCGATGTGCTTCTGGGAGTCGAGGCGCACGATGAAGGAGGGGATGTTCACCACCTGCTTTCGGGCTCTGATGTGCCTCTGGCGGATGAGCACGCACGCGGTGGATGGACTTGGCCAGGCCCAGCTTGAAACCCTGCGTCTGCAGGCGCCGCTCCAGGAAGTCCTCGATCCTCGGGCCCAGGATGTAGTCCAGCTTCATCTTGCCCTCGTCCAGGACGCAGATACCACCAGACGCCGCAGCAGGGCATTGCCTTCAAAGAGCCGCTGCGGGTCTTTCTCGTCCGTGTGAGGCCGCTTTGCGGATCTTGGCCAGCCATACCTCGCGCTTGTTGTAGAGCCCGTACTCAGCCCGTACTCGCCAATCAGCTTCAGGTCCTGCTCCAGGCGCGACTTCTCCAAGGGCCGCTGCGGCGTCAAGCACGTCTTCCGACACACCCAGCTCCTGGAGACCGGCATCTTGGCGGAGTAGGACGGTCTGGCCCGCTCCTCTTACATGCTTCACAACAAGCTGGGAAAAACGAGTCATCTCATCTTTGCATCTAATATCAGATACTACTATGGGAACAGGCAGTCCAAACTGGCTGGACTAGCAAGGAGTCCTAACAGAGGAACAGTGTTGGGAGTGGCGCGTTGTGAAAGAGGGAGGGAGAAGAGGAGCATAATGCCATCAGATTAATCAATGCCACAATCTCAACTACCACTTCCTATCAAAACCAAGATGGAAACCAAAGGGCTGGTGTGCCCCAAAGCCCCAGGAATAGCAACTCTCCTTAGACAACTGTTAGTAAATAAGCAGTTATTAAGTGCCTACTACTTGTCAAACACCATGCTAAGTACTAGGGACACACAGAAAGGTAAAAGATAGTTCCTGCCCTACAGGAGCTCACAATAGTTACGATAACATGCAAACAATTGTGTACGAACTATATATATACATACACACACACACACACATATATATACATATATATCTCGAAAATAATCTAGAGAAGGCAATAGAATTAAAGGGACACAGGGTATGCTTACTGCATTTTTTTTAACTGTGATTTTAGCTAGGACTGAAGAAGTCAGGAGGCAGAGATGAGGAAGGAGAACATTCTAGGCATGGAGACTATCCAATAACAACGCCTGGAAGCTGAGAGACTGAGTACCTTCTTCGTGGAAGAGCAAGGTCTGTCTCACTGCATAGAAGAGTATCAAGGGTATAAAGTAAAAAAAAGGTTAGAGAAGGAAGGCAGCCTGTGCTAGATCTTAACAGACTCAGAATGCCAAACAGAAGGTTTGCCAATGACACACAGGTAAACCTAAAAGTTCAAGGAATAGTACAGTTGATTAGAACACTGACCCGGCTTCAAAATCGGGCTCACTGTCATCACACAGTGAAATACCTTTACAGAGATGGGACTTCCTGCTTGCCTCTGCACATGCTAGCCCTTCCTTTCCTTACCATTAACAACTAGGAGCCGGAAGACAAAATTTTCACCAAAGTTCTTGACGTTGTCAATGGCTCATCATCAGAAATGGATATGGTTTTATCAAAGGAAATGACACTGAGGAATATGCATTTCTACCTCCACTCTAAGGAACACTGGACCTTTCCATCCGCTTTAAGACTAAAACATCCTGTGTTTTTTCTTACATTTTAGAAATTCAGCTCCTTTAGAGCCAGTCTTGATTTTCTATTTGTATCCCCAGCACTTAGCACAATGGTATTTTGTACGTACCAAGTGCTTAATAAATGCTTTTTTCATTCACTCACTGAAGTAATCAATATTTGGATACTATAAATTCATAGT